ACGCCAACACTGAATGTTTTTCTTCCTTATTGGAACTCTGAGATCTCAATAAATGTATTGAAGTGCGGGTTGAAGTCTTTTTCTTATGTTTTAAGGATGAGGAGCTGCAGAAAAAGTTATTCTCAGATGTTGAGATTATTTGTCAGACAAACAAGGAGCCAAAATACCAGATGATATCATATTTCATGTTAAGTGTGGCTATATATAAACAATGTCCAATCCTGTGGAATGAATCTATTTGAGCTGTTGTCCATTCTCACTACTCTCTTGCTCCTTGTTTTTTGCTATCCTGTGGAATGTATCTAATCCTGAGATGGTATTAGCGATGATTGATGTTGGTGGACACCTGCTATAAATGTGTGCTGTTTAACGCAGCCTTTCCCAATCTTTACTAATACAATGAAAATGCAAGGAATGGGTCAGTAACAACTGGAGGAGCCAGTGAGACTTCATAACCAATCAATGGCATTGCTCTAGAAAGACAGACAGGTTTCACTCTACAGACAGACAGACACTATCTGACATTGTGATGGTGCTGTGCAGTGAGTGTCAGTGTTCTCCTGGTACAATGAGTCTGCAGGGATCCGTCATTCTTTATACAAGTAAAGATATTCTAACGTGGATTGCCTGAATTTACCCAATGGGTTTAGTGTTTGTTTGCCACCTTCTGTCTATTGTCATTGAACTCGTAGTTATAAACAGACTTATTAACAGAGCAAACATCATAACGAGGAAAGTACTGGGAAGTGTTACATTAGATCCTGAACAAACCCAAGGTGAGAGTAAGTGAAACTAAATATGTCCTATATTCTGTGAACTATGAACTATGATGCAGAGAGAGGAAAGGCAAGTTAAGAAAGCCAAGAGGCAGCGAGTGAAAGGTAATAAGATAAACCCAGTGAGAGAACCCTGTACACACAGCCTCATAATGGATCACTACCAGCTCCGAGATTATATCTGTAACTTCAGACTTGACGACTGTGCTCGGGGTAACCAGGGCTATAACCGGGTACTCCTGCAGCTATTTGGGTATACAGGCCATGGGATGTCCTCCTTCATCAACTCCTGTAAGTTTGTCCTGGATGGGGAGTATAAAATGGTCGCTGAGTCTGGGGCAGAACAAGGTGGTATAACCATGGTGAGAAGATCCTATGAGCTAACAGACACCATCACCATCGTGGATAACCGAGGGTTTGCAAAAACTGACGTGTTTAAGACATTAACAGTCTGCAATCACCTAGGTAAGTGACTGCTGTGAGTGTCAATGTAAGTCATTGTGTCACCTCTTAAAGGGGCACTCCAGGATATATTCCCCATACCTTGTGTAATTCGGTTAATAAAACCGTGCATGAAGAACGACTAAACTTTTACTTTAGATATTTCTTCTTTTAAAACAGCATTATTGTAGCCAGTCCAGGCAATGTCAAGCTTTGCTGTGCTCAGCAGGACCAACAGCAGCATCCCCAACAATATCTCACCCTGTGCCCCACGCATTTAACCATCAATAGTGTGTAACGTTTAGCCCACATGGCTGCTTTCCTCTGTTAACGTGTGAAGTAAGATGGTTCATGTTTCATTAAATCCACAAACAAGCTGCCGACAGAGAAAAAACAGAGAGACGTAGTGATATACTTACTGTATGTCTTGCTGTCCATGTCTAATGAAGGCTGCTTTAATTCCTGCAGCTCAGCTCACTCCCAGCAGATATACACTGGAGTGAAACTAGTTTGGTAGAATGGGGACAATGTGACAGTTTTATGGTAAAATGTTGCAAATCATTTAGGGTTTATTATATTATTATATTATTATTATTATTATTATTATTATTATTATTTGCAATACCTACAATGATGTGAGCTGTGTGAATCACTCCATGCATTACATGGTATGTTTCTGAACAGAGTGTTCCCTCTAAGCTCAGAACACTTTTTCAGATAATATAACTACGGATTATTAAAGTTAATATAAAATCCAGTCGCTGTGTTTTTGACAGTTAAAGGACCACTCTAGGCAATGAAGCTTAATGAAGTGGTGTGGGTGCCAGGTCCAGCTAGGGTTAACCCATTTTTTCATAAACATAGCAGTTTCAGAGAAACTGCTATATTTATGAATGGGTTAAGCCTTCCCCCTAATCCTCTAGTGGCTGTCTCATTGACAGCCACTAGAGGCGCTTGCGTGCTTCTCACTTTGATTTTCACAGTGAGAGCACGCCAGCGTCCATAGGAAAGCATTATGAATGCTTTCCTATGTAACCGGCTGAATGCGCACGCAGCTCTTGCCGCGCGTGCGCATTCAGCCCAGGAGAAGGAACGGAGGAGGATCGGGGGAGGAGAGCTCTCCGCCCAGCGCTGGAAAAAGGTAAGTTTAAACCCCTTTCCCCCTTCCAGAGCCGGGCGGGAGGGGGTCCCTGAGTATGTTTTCCTGTCACTATAGTGGTCCTTTAATAATTTGAGTTTTAGGGAGAATTATCGATTTACCATTTTGGACTGAACACAGAAATAGAAAATGGCAAAATATTATTTTAATTACAAAATAACGAGTGACCAATTAAGTATTAAGTACACTCTGTATATTAATATTAGTTATATTGCTGTGGAGCTCCGTGATACACTCACACACTCTGTATATTAATAGTAGTTATATTGCTGTGGAGCTCCGTGATACACTCACACACTCTGTATATTACTATTAGTTATATTGCTGTGGAGCTCCGTGATACACTCACACACTCTGTATATTAATAGTAGTTATATTGCTGTGGAGCTCCGTGATACACTCACACACTCTGTATATTACTATTAGTTATATTGCTGTGGAGCTCCGTGATACACTCACACACTCTGTATATTACTATTAGTTATATTGCTGTGGAGCTCCGTGATACACTCACACACTCTGTATATTAATATTAGTTATATTGCTGTGGAGCTCCGTGATACACTCACACACTCTGTATATTACTATTAGTTATATTGCTGTGGAGCTCCGTGATACACTCACACACTCTGTATATTACTATTAGTTATATTGCTGTGGAGCTCCGTGATACACTCACACACTCTGTATATTAATATTAGTTATATTGCTGTGGAGCTCCGTGATACACTCACACACTCTGTATATTAATATTAGTTATATTGCTGTGGAGCTCCGTGATACACTCACACACTCTGTATATTAATATTAGTTATATTGCTGTGGAGCTCCGTGATACACTCACACACTCTGTATATTAATATTAGTTATATTGCTGTGGAGCTCCGTGATACACTCACACACGCTGTATATTAATATTAGTTATATTGCTGTGGAGCTCCGTGATACACTCACACACTCTGTATATTAATATTAGTTATATTGCTGTGGAGCTCCGTGATACACTCACACACGCTGTATATTAATATTAGTTATATTGCTGTGGAGCTCCGTGATACACTCACACACGCTGTATATTAATATTAGTTATATTGCTGTGGAGCTCCGTGATACACTCACACACGCTGTATATTAATATTAGTTATATTGCTGTGGAGCTCCGTGATACACTCACACACTCTGTATATTAATATTAGTTATATTGCTGTGGAGCTCCGTGATACACTCACACACTCTGTATATTAATATTAGTTATATTGCTGTGGAGCTCCGTGATACACTCACACACTCTGTATATTAATATTAGTTATATTGCTGTGGAGCTCCGTGATACACTCACACACGCTGTATATTAATATTAGTTATATTGCTGTGGAGCTCCGTGATACACTCACACACGCTGTATATTAATATTAGTTATATTGCTGTGGAGCTCCGTGATACACTCACACACGCTGTATATTAATATTAGTTATATTGCTGTGGAGCTCCGTGATACACTCACACACTCTGTATATTACTATTAGTTATATTGCTGTGGAGCTCCGTGATACACTCACACACGCTGTATATTAATATTAGTTATATTGCTGTGGAGCTCCGTGATACACTCACACACTCTGTATATTAATATTAGTTATATTGCTGTGGAGCTCCGTGATACACTCACACACGCTGTATATTAATATTAGTTATATTGCTGTGGAGCTCCGTGATACACTCACACACTCTGTATATTACTATTAGTTATATTGCCGTGGAGCTCTGTGATACACTCACACACTCTGTATATTAATATTAGTTATATTGCTGTGGAGCTCCGTGATACACTCACACACGCTGTATATTAATATTAGTTATATTGCTGTGGAGCTCCGTGATACAGTCACACACTCTGTATATTAATATTAGTTATATTGCTGTGGAGCTCCGTGATACACTCACACACGCTGTACAAATACTGTAGCAAAAGTTTGTGGATTCTCCTAATCATTCGGTGAACATGTAAATCTCTTAATTAAATTATTTTAGATTATTTTTCTGCCAGATTGTATTAATTTTTACTGCGAACCATGGTGTGACCGTATGATTCCTGGAAACGGATCCCGAACAGCCCCATTCCATCACCACTTCCGTCTCCAAGCCCTCGCTGTGTTTATATTTGGAAAGCCGGCTATGATGTAACTGTAGATGCGGAGATCTTTGATATGTAGCATTGAAGCTATGAAATGATGATTAAGGTGTTTTTTAAACATCAGATGTCTTAAAGAAAAACAAATCGTTATAATCTCATTGTATTTTTATTCCTTAGGTAATTTTCAACCCCTCAATAATGATGTGGAGTGGAGTGAGAATTATTCTATTGTAATGGAACATCTGGAGAAGGCGGACATGGACCCAAATTACTCAGATTTAATTGTTCCAATTTTCATTTTCAAGTAAGAAAGAAAGTTCTATTCCCAAAAGTGCAATAAATGGAAAATAAAAGTGAAGATTAAAGGGAGGCCAATGTCTGGTAGAAAAGTGGCCTGTGTCTAGGGGGAAGGGAGGTCAATGTCTGGGGGGGAAGGGAGGCCGATGTCTGGGGGAAGAGAGGCCGATGTCTGAGGGAAAGGAGTCCTGTGTCTGGGGGAAGGGAGGCCTGTGTCCATGGAAGGGAGGCCGATGTCTCGGGGAAGGGAGGCCGATGTCTGAGGGAAGGGAGGCCTGTGTCTGGGGGAAGGGAGGCCGATGTCTGGGGGAAGGGAGGCCTGTGTCCATGGAAGGGAGGCCGATGTCTGGGGGAAGGGAGGCCTGTGTCCCAGGGAAAGGGAGGCCGATGTCTGGGGGAACACATGGCGGACCACACACATTACATTAAACATTACAGTATTGCCCCATATTAATGATTGTTGGGGTGCCAATATGTATAATGTCCACGGTAATGATTGTTGGGGTGCCAATATGTATAATGTCCATGGTACTGATTGTTGGGGTGCCAATTTGTATAATGTCCATGGTAATGATTATTGGGGTGCCAATATGTATAATGTCCATGGTACTGATTGTTGGGGTGCCAATTTGTATAATGTCCATGGTAATGATTATTGAGGTGCCAATATGTATAATGTCCATGGTAATGATTGTTTAGGTGCCAATATGTATAATGTCCATGGTAGTGATTGTTGGGGTGCCAATATGTATAATGTCCATGGCACTGATATTTGGAGTGCCAATATGTATAATGTCCATGGTACTGATTGTTGGGGTGCCAATATGTATAATGTCCATGGTACTGATTGTTGGGGTGCCAATATGTATAATGTCCATGGTACTGATTGTTGGGGTGCCAATTTGTATAATGTCCATGGTAATGATTGTTGAGGTGCCAATATGTATAATGTCCATGGTAATGATTGTTGGGGTGCCAATATGTATAATGTCCATGGTAGTGATTGTTGGGGTGCCAATATGTATAATGTCCATGGTACTGATATTTGGAGTGCCAATATGTATAATGTCCATGGTACTGATTGTTGGGGTGCCAATATGTATAATGTCTATGGTACTGATTGTTGGGGTGCCAATATGTATAATGTCCATGGTACTGATTGTTGGGGTGCCAATATGTATAATGTCCACGGTAATGATTGTTGGGGTGCCAATATGTATAATGTCCATGGTACTGATTGTTGGGGTGCCAATATGTATAATGTCCATGGTACTGATTGTTGGGGTGCCGTATTTCTTTGACTTTGTATCTTTGTTTCACAGCAGAAGCATGGGATTTTTATATAGCAATTATTTGAGCAGGTTGATGGATGAAAGTCATGTGCAAATGAGTTAAAGAGCCATGACATATGTTAATGACAGATTGAGAATTTAAAGGGAAACCATTATTGTCAAAACCACTACAGCTTATTGTATAGTATACAGCTCATTGTATTTGTTCTGACTTTTTCCAGTAATCACTGTCTTATCAGAGAAAAAGCAGTGTTTACACCATAGGGATACCTCCACTGGCCACTCCTCAGATGGCTCCTAGAGGTGCTTCCTGGGGCAGTGCTGACAGTGTGATTGACATTCAGTGTCTCCACCCTCTGCATGCAGACACTGAGCTTTCATCGTAGAGATTCATTGATTCAATTCATCTCTATGAGGAGATGCTGATTGGCCAGGGCTGTGTTTGAATCATGCTGGCTCTGCCCCTGATCTGCCTCCTTGACAGTCTCAGCCAATGATTTGTGAAAGTATTGTGATTGGCTCAGAGAATCATTTTGATGATTTCAACCAAGCAGGCAGATCAGGGGCAGAGCCTGCAGCTGCAGACTGGAATAAAGGTAATTGTTACGACACGTACCGTCGGGTAGATGAAGCCGCCGTTTAGTCAATAATCCCCTTCTCCAGAAATGCAGTTTAAATCCAGCCGACCGCCAAACTCCCGAACGAAGTCCACGAACACGGCAACTCCCGATCAGCAAAACAGTCGAACGCCTTCCACAGCTAAAAATAACGAAAGCGCTGTCCCAGTAATAATTCCCCCCACAAACGAGACCAAGCTCCGTCTTGAGGGTCAAATGAAGATCTGTTTAATGGGGGCTACCTGCCCGGTATTTATGCAGGTCTCCACAAGGTGGACACTCCCCGAGGGGACCTTGTGGAAGACTGTAAGACATATTGGACAGTAGCCAATCGCAGTGGCTTCAATAATAGCCCTTCCCATCTTGCCCATAATTCCGTCTTCTCTACCTCGGAGATAATTAGGAAGAAACCTAATTATCTCCCAAGGTAGAGACAATCGCCATTTTGGAATACAGTAATAAAAATACATTAAAATACATAATTGCAGGAGGGGCGGAGCCTAGCCGCAGAAGACAGCAGTCGCACTAATCCGGAGCTCCTAGGCCCAAACGGGGAAAACGAGACCTAATACCCAAACGGCATACCCCACAAAACGAAACCAAGACCCCCTACGCATCCCCAACGACATGGGACGCAAATCGAAGAAATTCAGCGCAGACAAAGCCACCCCCGGGCTCACAATAGGGGATATGTGGAGACAAGCGCGTGGCGCCGGCGGGCCCAACATGGCGGCGCTCCACGGAGGCTGCTCAGACTTCTCCGATGACCTGTCGGATGAAGAACACTCACCGGCCCCAGCACCAGGAATACCTCCACAGCCCAATAGACCCACACCGGACTCCACTCCGTTAACTAAGCTGATCCTGCAGCAACTGCTCGCAGACCTTCAAACTAACCTGCAAAAGGATATATTGGCGCTGAGGGGAGATCTGAGAGGCCTGACAACCCGTATGGACACCCTCGAAAATACTTCCACAAAGAACACCCGAGATATCGGGAAGCTCCAAAGAACCGTGAGCGACCTGCAACTGCAGCAACAGAACACGGAGCGCCGAGTGGCGGAACAGGAGGATGTCAGAAGGCGCAATAACATTAAACTGAGGGGGATCTCTGAGGCAATACCCACAGCGGCATTACCACAACTCATCAAACGCCTGATCACAAGCATACTGCCGCCTACCCAAGCGGACAAAATAGGCCCCGAACACCTCTTCAGGATACCCATCTCACCCAAAGCACCAACTCCAGCCTCCAGAGATGTAATCCTGGCCTTCCGCACAAGACAAGACAAGACGGCAATCCTCACCGCCCTACGAGGAAAGTCACCACTCCAATTTGAGGGCATGACACTGACTTTCTTTGCGGACCTATCGAGCGACACCCTGGCGTGGCGGCGCTCCTTCAGACCACTCACCACGCTCCTATGACAACGAGACCTCCAATATCGATGGCAGCCTGCCCACACACTGACCATCCACCAGGGAACAGACTCCCATCGGATCCGCGACATGAGCGAAGCAGCACAGCTACTGCAGGCTTTGGGCCTACCACTGGACTCTCTTACGCCGCCTAACTGCCAGAGCACACCATCTCCAAATCTCACCTGGGACCTGTCCCGAATAACCCTATTTGTACCGCAGGGACTAACACCCGACCCCTATGCTACAGTCACCACATGAACGAACTATGGCGACATCGCACCCAACTCGGGACTCAATGACCGCCACCACAAGGCTAAGCGACCCACCTAACACAGGCCGTATTATTGTCTACACGCATTTTATTTTGTTTTTCTCCTTTTAATGTTTATGTTTATCTTGCATGCATCCTTTTAAGGTTTAACTCCCAGTTGACGGCGGCCATGGCCTTGCCGAGACACGTACCACCTGTCGCTCAATACACAGTGAGCACTAACTATAATACCCCCTGTTACTTACCCACCGCCTGTTCCGGCACAAGGTGGCTAGTATACTCCTACCTTAACTGACCACCCAGCGGATGCACGGCCGTATCTCAGCACATGCACCCTACGTTCTATCTAATCTTTTAGTGCCCGGTTTCTCCCTGAGATATCCAGCACAGCTGAACCGTTCATGCTAGCAAATCACTTGTCACAAGCAAATGGTATAGCTGCACTCACGTCCCTGTTTGCTTATTTCGTTGTTTAATTATTTTTACCACGCTGCAGAGGCATACATCTAAACGAATAGCACATTTCATATAACCAGTGCAACTAGAACTGTTCCACGCCTGTCTAGATTAGCAGGGCATGCCATGCAAACAACGTTCAATAGCTTGTAATATAACCTAGCACTGCATTAGGCCACCTGACAACATAACTTAAGGCGGCAACCCAAATCTGCCTATAAAATGGCATAACACTGAAGACTCACTTCTTTTTCCTTTGTCTGAAGCAAGGTATTGCTAAACCGAGTATAACGATATCCTCTTGAGCATGAAAGGCAATGTTATATGCTCTGCAGCCTTTGTTTACCTAAAGCGAGAATTTACACTGAACCTCATATGTTGTGTATTAGGTGACGAGTAGCAAACTAACGCTCACTTTCCTAGCACGTACCCCTAGGCAAAAATGTCCCTATACCCCTGACACCACTGTATTGAAGACCATAACTAGCAGCGCAGATCGAATGTTGGTTTATAGCACCTTTGTCCTCTCTAAGCACATGCCCCTCTTGCCCAGACAACGGGGAGAAGGTGCGCGAAAAGCAATATTAATTCAGGTGCACACAGGTGCAGCTTTATTTCAAAAGTTCCAAACGTGAGGCCACGCTAGAATAACTGGTCACCCAAGCAATGTTACTGTTATACGCTGGCATAGTAATACTCAAACCTCCAGATTTAATCTTATGTTATTTTATTACACGTTGCTCTCTCTATACTTGTTACCTTATTTGATCATCGCATCATTTTATACCATATTCAAAAAAGTGCATTGTTTGACCATTCACTACTGTATCTATTGTTGTTGAAATAAGCATGCGGGTTGCCGTTGGGGAACCACATGCCTGTCTGTACCAACTATATGCACTACAAAAATAAAGAATTTAAAAAAAAAAAAAAAGGGGTGTGGATTAATTAAAGGGGGGTGGATTAATTAAAGGGGTGGATTAATTAAGGGGGTGTGGATTAATTAAGTGGGGGAGGTTTATTTAAGGCGGGTAGGTTTAATTAATGGGGTGGTGCAGGTTATTTTTTAATTAAGGTGGTTGCAGTATTTTATTTATTAAGGGAGGATGTGCACTGCAGATTTTTGTTTTTTATTAAGGGGGTGTGCAGGATTTTTATTAAGGGGGTGTGCAGTTTTTTTGTCATTAAAGGGGGTTGTGCAAGTTTTTGTTTTTTATTAAGGGGGTGTGCAGGTTTTTTTTATTAAGAGGTTTGTGCATGGTTTTTTATTAAAGGTAGTGTGCAGGTTTTTTATTAAGGAGGTTGTGCAGGTTTTTTTATTAAAGGGGGTGTTTTTTTAATTAAGGGGGTTGTGCAGGTTTCTGTTTTTATTAAGGGGGGTGTGCAGTGTTTTTGTTTTTTTTTAATTAAGGGGGTGTGCAGAGTTTTTATGTGTAGTGAGTGTATGAAATTTATGTGATTGGGGTGCAGGGTTTTTATGTGTAGGAAGTATATGAAATTTATGTGATCAGTGTGCAGGGTTTTTATATGAAGGGCGAAGGGCAAGGGTTTTCTAGAAGGGGCGAGACAAGGGGCTTTGTAGAAAGGGGCAGGGCAGGAGTTTTCTAGAAGTTTCTCACCAGCCCCTTTCTACAAAAGCACTGGTCTTCCCCCTTCTACAAAACTGGAGCATTTATACCGAAACTCTGCCCTGGCCCTCTTCTACAAAACCTCTGCCCTAGTTGCTACATCTTTTTAACCTAAATCCCTTTCCTATGCTGTTTCTCTTCCAATGTGTTTAACCCCTTAAAGGATCAGCTCAAAGAATGGGTTTGGGTGCCAGGTCCCTCTAGTTTTAACCCTGCAGCTGAAAACATATGTTTCACTGAGGGTTAATCAAGCCTCTAGTGGCTGTCTCACTGACAGCAGCTAGAGGCGCTTCCACAATTCTCACTGTAAAACTCACTGTGAGAAGACGCTGGACATCCATAGGAAAGCATTTAGTAATGCTTTCCTATGGGCAGTTTGAATGCGCACGCGGCTCTTGCCGCGCATGCGCATTCGGATCTGATGTCGGCAGGGGGAGGAGAGGTCACCAGCGCCGAGGGAGCCCGACGCTGGAGAAAGGTAAGTGGCTGAATGAGTTTTAAAGGGTTAAAACCCCTTCAGCCACTTACCTTAATCCAGCGCTGGTGACCTCTCCTCCCCCACCGACGTCAGCTCCCGAGTGG